AAAGAGGGAAAGCTTGTTCGCTTTAGCTTTCAATGTTATTTCCAAAAGTTTTAGTATTTTTTGAGAAAACTGTCATTGAGTCCATATTTTAGAGTTACATTTTCTTTTATAAAGGATACCAAGGTTACAGAAAGTCTTTATCTTCCCTCAGAAAAAAGCACTTTTGCATAAAAAAGAGACAAGGCACTTGGCAAACACATTCGGGTGCAGCTGATATGAAGCATACTTTGTTCACGGAAAGGATCCTGGGTATTTCAGCGAGCTGAAATAGATTTCTGCCTGGTTAATTTAGCAAAGAAGGAGGAAAAGAACATTTTTCTAGGTCAAAATTACTTGCTTGTTGGTGCAATCCAGCTCATAAAGGCTTTAAAAAAAATCTCCAGGACTACTCAGAAAGGAGGATCATTCCCACTTGAAACAGTTAAATCATTCTTCATTTCAGTTTGAAGACCAGTTTTAACCAAACAGCTTCCTCCAGTACGTTAGGAGCAGCTGAATCATTTGATTGCAAAAGTAAAAATGTTTCATCCATTTCATTTCCTTGTCACATCTGTATCAAGAACAAAGTTGACCTACCTTGCCATCATTGTAGAGGTTTGGATTGAATCTCACGCTGTGGCCTCCAGTTGTTTCCAGATTTACAAGTGGAGGGGAATTAGGATAGTCTTGTGGAAAATACACATCAAATTCAAAGCAACCATTTGCGTAAGGGGTGTCTGCAGGACCAGTAATGAGAACCTACCATTGTAAAAAACCAAGACAACAGTTTTCAGAAAAAACCCTTACATTTGTCACACAGATGAGGTTTTTATAAGTTACATGAAGCGTTTTATTTCCACGTGCTACTTATCCGAAAATACCGTTAGACATCATAACCATATGCAGGCTGTCAGTCTGTTCTTTTTGACACTCTGGTAAGTGGGGACCTCTGCTAACATTCATTTCTCCAGATGACAAATGGAAAGCAAAACAGAAGGAGCTAAAACTCCATCCCCTATTGGATACTATCAATAGAATTTTTTCTTCAAACTTCAGGTCCAGAGATATTCAGTGCACTTCTCCATACCTGCGGCTTTTAATCAACTTAAACGGTCATATGCAAAGATCCACTTTGGCCATAATGGAATAACAAAACTAAATTTCTCCCTTCCAAACAGCTGAAGAGCAAACCTTGTCCTGTGAAGTCTCCTTGGCTAACAGGGCACTCCCGGGGTAGATGGACTCTCCCTGCCTCCCGCCAAGTTATTGAGAAATCAGGATCAGAATCTAAAATACTGCTACCTATGTTAAAGTTTGGACAGCAATTAAAGTGCACGTGAATTACTTCTGTTTTTTCTTAAGATTTAAGGCACCTTCTTAAACACTTACATGCCAAGCTGAACAGGGAAATAAAAGTAACTTTGCTTCTTTACCTTCATAATGTCAAGCCGCTCCTCATCACAACGTACGAAAACGCTGGATGAAGATGAGAGAGGCAGCGATGTTGAAAGAGTCACAGCTTCTTGAGCAAGACGTCGGGCTCTGGCAGCGCTGTTGGCGTCACTTGCATTTTTTACCTGAGACATGTAGTGGTAATTTACTTTGAAAACCAGTTTTCCATCATCATCTTCAGAAACCATTTCAAATGTATCTAGAAGAGAAGAAAATTGTAATGCATCAGGAAAACAGTGAAGTTAATAATAGATTAGTTTTGGATAAAGAGTCTGAGTATTAAAATCAGGAGAGTTTAAATTGCATGATACTATTGTGAAAAAATACCTATTTTGTCAGTTAACAGTGAGCACAGAAAACAAAGCATTAACAGTCCTGAGTCGAATTAATTTCTGCAGCAAATTTACAAGCTTTCATATACAACTTGTCAGATGCACACCAGTTCTGATTTGGAAAGCTACCAGCTACTCCAGACCAGGAATATAATGATACTTATGAATATATAATAATGCTAATAAAGGAATCAGTGTGAAGCAGAGCACCAATAGTATTTACTTGTGTGGTGGTTGCAGTGCTATTAAAGAATCGTAAAAAATTTCAGTGAAGCTGTTTTTTTTAATGACTTACTACACAAAATCTGCAGCACGGCTGCCAGGGTGAAAAGCTGTGACTAAGAACTTTCCTACCTCCTATTCTTGGGGTACACTCCACAAACATTGGAAAAGCAGGCAAATCCCTTACAACAGCAAAGAAATGCGATTGCAAATGCTGTCACTGCAAATCAAAAACTACTCATAGAACAAGTTTTTGCAATAATTTTATAGCTCTTTTTGGATGAGACACTGTATGTTCTTTATGACTTTTTTTTTTTTTTTAGCACGTTCCCTTTATGGCCAAAATAAGCACCAATTCCCATCACATTTTTCCAAATGCAACATATTGCACTCCATTTACTACAGTTTCATTTTGAAACCCACATTTTCATCAGAATTCTATTTCATTTGAAAAATAAAAGCTACATTTACAAACATATATACAGTCATATATGAGCTTTAAAAAAAAAAATCTAACATTTCAATATCATTTGAGGACTGAAAGACTCACAAATCATTACTGCAATGAAAACAAACACCATCATTGAATTCATCTGGTCCCTTGAATTAATCTAGTAAATGCTTAAAACACTTCTTATTAGTTCAAACAGTGCATTAGTTGGTAACCTGAAAATACAGACTTATATAATTTTCCGTATGTGAAGAGTATCAGTGGTCACACAGGTAAAAAAAGCTGGTAACTTTCTAAACCAATTAGAGATCCACTGCAATAGATTGCATATTTCTTAGGTATCTGTTTTCTAAGACACAAATATTCACGCTTCTCAACCTACCAAACTGGAGTTTTTTCATGACAGCCACATACTTTTCTTCAAGAGACCGTAAAACAGACAAAGGCTTGGGCTTCACAGCAGCCTTTTTGGAGTATTCAGCCATCTTCTTTTCTGTTACATAAAACGTGATGATTACTTGGAGTTAACCATGTAATTCTGAGACAAGTACAGCAAGCACTTGGGGATTATTTAACTTGAAATGACATTTTACAGTGACACTGTTTGCAGAGAGGTCTGAAAACTGGGGATCACTCACAACATACAAGTCTGTTCTTCTCACTGCTATGTATTTCAGCATCTGAACAGCTCAAAGTAAATAAAGACCATTAGCTCAACTTCGCAGTAATTCATGACTACTACTGCTGTGAATATTCTTTTGTTTCTTCTACTTATTTTTTTTAAATTTAAAACAGGAAGTATGACATAAAGCTGTGTGGATGGACATTCACACATGTATTCTCGATGCATTCTCCAAAACCAGGAGCTGATTATACATGCCTTTTGAAAATCCAGTCCCCTGATTAAGCTACTTAATCTTTAGTTTTCTTTACTAGTCAACAAGATAGTCCTTTAAACGTCTGCAGGTTCAATCTATGATTTAGATTTTTGTTCTGCATTCATCTAATTAAGAGTTAACCTAACCTAACCTGGAGTACTGCGTTCAGCTCTGCGGCCCTCAATATCAGAAGGACATGGACCTCTGGGAGCATAAGGGCCACAAAGATGATCCGAGGGCTGGAGCACCTCTCCTATCAAGACAGGCTGAGAGAGTTTGGGTTGTTCAGTCTGGAGAAGAGAAGGCTCCAGGGAGATCTTATAGCAGCTTTCCAGTACTTAAAGGGGGGGCCTACAGGAAAGCTGGAAAGGGACTTTTTACAAGGGCGTGTAGTGATAGGACAAGGGGCAATGGCTTTAAACTGAAAGAGGGTAGATTTAGACTAGATATAAGGAAGAAATTTTTCCCTCTGAGTGTGGTGATGCACTGGAACATGTTGCCCAAAGGAGCTGTGGATGCCCCATCCCTGAAAGCGTTCGAGGCCAGGCTGGATGAGGCTTTGAGCAACCTGGTGTAGTGGAGGGTGTCCCTGCCCGTGGCTTTAAAGATGAGCTTTAAAGTCCCTTCCAACCCAAACGATTCTATGATTCCATGATAACTCATAAGATTTAGTTTTAACAGCAAAGGCTTTACTATTAACTATTAAAGGTCAAGAAAAGGCCAAGAAAATAAAAAAAAAAAGGTACTACATAGCTGTGCTAAAAGTCATGAGCTGTACTCTAACTTACTGGCATCGTTTCCTGCTTGAAGCAGTTAAGACTACCACAAGGTTCCAACTGCCTTTGAAAATGTAGTCTGTGGTTGGGGGCAGGAGGGAAGTATTTTTTCTTGCTTTTAAGCTAATTTATAATTTATCTGTTAATGAATGTATTACAAATAAAAACTATACAGTATTTATAAAAGTATTTCTATTTTACCTTGATTTGCTTGGCGCAAACTAGTGGTAGCAGCATAAACTATCTCCGCAGTCTTTTGGATGTCTGGTACCAAAAGCGTCAGTCCCTCTGGTTCTTGATCAGAAGTATCTGGTTTTACTCCTGCTTTAGCTTTGTCTTTTTTAGACCTGTTTGGGGTTGTGGGGTTTTTTTTTTGGAAAGAAATAGGATATAGCATGAGGTAACATTTTTCAACCAATCGGACAGTACTCAACATATTTGTCAACAGGGAAAAATATCAAAGATTAATGATCAAGATTAAAGCAAGTCTTCTGAAATTCAAAGTCTGAATCTCCAGGTTAATCACTGAATGTAGCAGTCAACTGTGACAATACTGAACACGCAGTCTTGATTTGACAAACAGAAATACATCTGATATGAAGAGTAAAGATATGAACACACTGCCAGTGATACTAGTGTACTAGTTTCTGCATCCACCATTTAATATTTTTCATTATTACGCTGCATGCTGACCTTATGCTTGCACATTTTCAAAAATACTAGAAAAGCTTACAAAATCAGTATAAGAAAGATCATGTCATAATGTGCACTTCATCCACCCACGTAGATCCTGGTGCAAAATCAAGTCCTGAATAGGCAATACACAACTCTCTCCTATTCCACAGTACACTAGTGATTCTTTAAAATACGCTCATGGTAAAACACTAGGAAACCTCTAGTAAAAATTCACAGTATGTCTGTGAACTACAAGCTAGGCATCACAAGACAGTGGGTCAAAAATGGAGCTTGTCTCTCTCTGCAGTTCTCTTCTGGGCTTTAAAAGTTAAGATCTTTTATTTCAATAAAAAGTTTAATGTAACATAATTTTAAAAGTCTTACAAACACAGAAGGCATCTATATTAAATTGGATGTTTAAAATCAATGTCTTGCAAATTAAAACATCAATTTAAACATCTTAAATTTTTATAATGAAATAATTTGAAAATATAGTATGTATTTGTCATGGTTTAGCCCATCCAGCAACTAAACACCACACAGTCGCTCACTCACCCTGCCCCACTCCCAGAGGATAGGGAAGAGAATTAAAGGTGAAAAGGGAAGAAGGCTTGTGGGTTGAGATAAGAACAATTTAATAATAACAGTATTATATGAATACATATGTATAATAATAATACATACAAACAAGTGATGCACAGTGTAATTGCTCAACACCCAGTGACCAATGCCCATCCTGTCCTGGCAAAAGATCCCAAAACAGGTAACTCCCAGTACCGTAACCTCAGATGAGTGAGAGGCCCAAAAAAGGGAGTGAGAAGAGAAGAGAAAGAGCCCCTGGAAGAGCAAGCACCTTCTTCCCAGTCAACCCTCATTTATATACTGGGCATGATGTCGCATGATATGGAACACTCCATTGGCCAATTTGACCCTCAATCCTAAATCTAAGATCAAATCATAAGACGAGTTGTGAGTCCTTTGTCCTGGCCTTGCTCTCCCCCAGCCTGCTGTGCTCCTGCTCGCTGGCAAAAACACGGGAAGCTGGAAAGTCCTTGATGTCTCAGCACCAACTATAAACATCAGTGCACTGTCAACATTCTTCTCATAATGAATCCCAGACTAAAACCAAAACAGGGAGCTCTTATAGCTGCTAAAAACAAAGACTAACTCTGTCCCAGTCAAAACCAGGACAATACTGACATCATTGTTTGATAGAAGCTATTTGCCTAGTAATTTAAGATATATTTAAATATTTTGATTGTGATAACCCAGTCTTTACTAGCATATATATTCAACTGTTGAAATAAAGACTTGGTATTTGATAACAATACTCTGCAAAACTTACAAGATTTTAATGTCAACAGCCCCCAAATTATTTTACTTCAATATCTGTAGACGTTTTCTTTTAACAGTACTTGTTCATATTGAGATCCAAACAAGTTCAATAGCCAAGAAGCACTGGTTTCCTCTTCCCTGTTACCCTACCTAGAAGCACAACAAAAGGCTATCCACACAAGAAAAATTAGCAATTCAATGCACTGATGTCCCAAACATATTTTAGTAACTACCAAATTCTATGCCCTTTCTGTATCTTAATCTAGATTGAAAATATGCATACATAATGAGTCTCTAAACTATTCAATAGAGGTGATTATAGTAACTCTGAAAGTGTTTGCACTGCACCTAATCAAATGAGAATATACCTAGAGTGCATTAATAACAAAATTTGTTACTGCAGCATGGTTTATTTTCCCTGTCCCAGATTTAATCTAAAGTGACATTAGCCTGTTGTTGACTTCAAGGAATACTGAGCTGCCAGGTGTCCAGAGTTAGGAGGAGAGCATCAGAGCCAAACCATGTCAATTCAGTGTTTGAGGAAGGGTTTAAGACAAAGAAGCAGCAGCTGCCTCTCCCATTCATACTTTCCAAAATCCTCATCACTGCCTTTTCCCTTGTGGAAATCTTAGCCAATATTTTTAAAATAACCTTAAAATGTGTATTTAAGCCCACTAAACCTCAGTGATACCAGTTAACATCACAGACATGCTAGCAGGCACCAGTCCCAAGAAAGGTGTACAGATTTAGAACTGCTTGCTGTTGATGTAGAATCCTTAAGCTATTTGCTACAAAATGCTCGTAGAAATTTTGACTAAAATGAAATGTCAATGGGCTTATCTGAGAGAAATGCATGAAAAGCAATGACAATGTGATTGGTGAAGCTACTGAAAGTGAAATTAATTCTTGTAAAGCTATTTTCAAGACAGTTATCTTGTACGACTTTTACCTTCCACACGGTTTTACAATTTAGACTACCAGCCTTTTCCTCCTCCGGAGTCTTAGAGCAAAACAAAAATTAAAGTGTTGGCCTCATTAGACAAAAGGCTTAACCACATGCTTAAAACCTCCCACAGATATACTGAGTTACTAACAGTCAACTGCTGAAGCAGACAAGGAATATTTATCTAGCCGAAGCAATAGAAAAGGAGAGATCTACTCACATGCAAATTCTCAGCACCAATAATAGAATTTCCTCTCCTTCTCCCTGCTGTCTCGACCAGTTAACACTTGAGTACTTTTGAACCATCACAAGAGAACATATTTTCTCAATGTCCCTTTTACCATCAATACAAATATTCTGTCTACTCTTATCTTGACCAAAACAGACAACCCTCCTCTCTCCTCAGAATATACTTTTTAAATCAAGGGTTGTCACAGCAGCTTTACCCTGTCACCTGCAGGTATGTGAAGCTCGTGTGATGGTCTACATGACCAGGCTGCCTAACTCGCTAATCAGGCCAGAAATCAATAAGACTGCGTTAAAGCAGTTTATGAAACAAAGTGCACAAGTGATTCCACCTTGGATGCCAAGAAGAAACCAGGTCTCGTATTTGACCTTGATAATGCCTAATCAGGGATTTCAGTCAGTTTCTTAATGAGTATAAGCTAGCTGGCACCACGAAACCCCATATCAGACATACTGCCTTATCAACATTTAGCTTCCTCACACAAGGCATGCTTGTATATTCTAATGGTTATGATAATTTTTTTTTTCCCCTCTCTTTTGAGGAAAAACCCAACTGATACTGCCATAACTTGTAAGACTCTTATTAATGACAACCTCAATTTTTTCTTCCCTCATTTTGCCTTCCTACCTTTGTTTGATTCAAATCTTTTGCTGTCTAAATAAGAATACCAACTTGGCACTGTTAATCCCTCACAGTTCACATGATGTTGCTACATGACCTTCTTTACATTTTTAGTGTTATACACCATTATTTAGAGATATTTAACAATACTTTACAGCTTGTCAGCTTATTTACAATCAAAATATGGTAAAACAAATAATTCACTAGACTCTAGATGGGGAAATCTTTCAAAGTTTCCCTAGTGGTATTTATTTTCACATTGAATATCATTTGTAAAGTTCACACAGTTTTGTCATCTCTAGCCATCTGAGAAAGAACTGAATTTCATTGCAAACATGAGCTATTACACTTGATTTCATATTTCTTTTGCATTAGAAGACCACAGAAGCCCTTTCTAAAATCATATCCTTACAATACAGTTTATCACGACTATTAAAATAAATGCAATTTAAAGAAAACTAGATTAGGTACATGATAAGATTAAAATCTCGTGTGAAACAGCTCTGGTACTGCAGGTGGAGGTGTGCAGCTGGTCCACATACCCATCTCCCTGATGTAACGACACATCGTGGACTGGAAAATCTCTAAGTCTATATAGTTTCCTAGACTATATGGTGATGAAAAGGGACAGATACAAACGTAATTCATAGTCCCATGAAAAAGATGAATGAGTTTTAAATATAACTAACATAGAATCATAGAATTGTTAGGGTTGGAAGGGACCTTAAAGATCATCTAGTTCCAACCCCCCTGCCATGGGCAGAGAAATCCTCCACTACACCAGGTTGCCCAAAGCCTCATCCAACCTGGCCTTGAACACTTCCAGGGATGGGGCAGCCACAACTTCTCTGGGCAACCTGTTCCACTGCCTCACCACCCTCAATGTAAAAAATTTCTTCCTTATATCTAATCGAAATCTGCCCTCTTTCAGTTTAAATCCATTACCCCTTGTCCTATCACTACACGCCCTTGTAAAAAGTCCCTCTCTAGCTTTCCTGTAGGCCCCCTTTAGGTACTGGAAAGCTGCTATAAAATCATATCTTACAACGCTTGGAGAAGCAAAGGTCAAAGATTCCTGTGGCCTCTGTAAGCCTGCTGTGGCCTATTGGCCTGCTGTACAAATCCTAAGTAATAAATACTTAAACGAGCTTTGTTAGGTTTGGTCTTGGAGGTGGGAGGCAGGACTTCAGGGCAGTGCAAATGTTACTCTAAGGACAAAACTACAGCAATGCCAAAGATGATATTTTGGTCCCCAAACCCATTTCTCAGTGTAACCTGAAACACATGGTATTACTTTGTACGCACATGAAAAGCAGCCTGGTGACAGTTCTACCATCTGTGAGTAACATGGGCAAACCAAATTGTTAGTTGAGAAAACGTCTTCCTCCCTTCTTGGCGTCACCTTCACTTTCATACTGCGGCTGCACTCCTGCCTGGATTCAGAGCCACAGCGAGCTCTCTCCAAACCATGTGTGATACACAAGTGTTTCAGAGGGACAAGTAGAGTCTCAGCTGGAGAGAGGGAG